AAGGGGTCCTCATCATTCTTTCTGTCCTCACTGTTGATATTCTATCACAGCAACCTGCCCTGACCCCCCAGGACTGAAAAATTCAATGGGGAATTAAAGTGTTGTTTTTGTGGGCATATGTTTTGGGGGGACAGGAGGATGATGATGGTGATGATGATGATAGCTGACCTTTATTGATCACTCATTAGATGATCAATAAATGCTGTCAGGGCTCTCCAGGTAGATGCTACATCCACCAACCATGCTCATTATGCAGAGGACCAAATTGAGTCCCTGATAGACAAACAACTCACCTAAGGACAGACAGAAAGTGAAAGGGGTGTATTTGAGCCCAGGCTTTCTGGCCCAAGGTCTAGTTTCCCCTTCTGTGTACACTCTGAGCCTGGATTGTGAGGAGGAGTCCACAGAGCAAGAGGCAAGGGAGGAAGCACAAACTGAGCTTTGATTGATGGCAGCATTTGACATGCTCAGACGGTGCTATGGTTAAGTCAACCTATTTTAAACAAGTCTCAAGACTGAAATAGAAGAAATTATAAACAGGTTCCTTCATGGATTTTTGTTGAAATATATAATTTATGCCCATTTTTATACATAAATATCAAAGTTCATAAAAGATTCATACTTTACTATTTGAGTCTTTCATCTTTATCTAAAAAACATAAGGCAAGGCCATTTTGAAATTACTTCTCATTTATTCACTAGCAGTGCAATAAAATCAAACATCCACTTTCTTGAAAAATAATAAAACACATTTATTCTAATTTGCTCTCCTATTACACCAATTTCTTCCTATAGGATTTCACATTGACAAAAGATGTTCTGTATTATTGTTCTCCTATAGGATCCTGTGAACTACTTTTCAAATTATTTTCTTTTTTAAAAATATTTTTTAGTTGTTAGTGGACCTTTATTTCATTTATTTATATGCGGTGCTGAGAATCGAACTTGCCTCACACATGCTAGGCAAGCGCTCCACTACTAAGCCACAACCCCAGCCCCTCAAATTATTTTTTTTATAGCTCAGAAAACAAAAAAAGGATATACAGGATCAGATTCTATCAGAAAGTGATAATTTTTTACACCAGAAAGATAGACTGGGTCTCAAATACTCTTGTCTAATAATACCAACTCGACTGGCTCTCAATATTTTTCTAAGCCCTAATTTAAAAGAAAAAGACTTATAAAAACAGTTTACTTTTTGTCCCAGAGATTTGTCCACAATTACAATATCCTTTGGTCCATAGTTCTATGGCATTAACGCAGGATTGAGCTGAATCCGGCATCAGAGGAGATATTAGGGAGGGAATATTCTCAGATACCCACATCAGGAGGAATATGGAGACAGGTGGAGGTACTACAAGTGAAGGCTATTCTAAGTCTCCAAACTGTAAATGTGCCTTGCTGTGCAACTGCTTCCAGAGATAGACGCATGTAGCAGCACATTGAGAATCATAGAACTATCCTGGCTCCTCTCTCATCTGGGAGAGATTATGTTGAAAACTGCTTGGGCTTCATGGTCCATGAACATCTTTGTGTAGACTTAGCTAAGATCCCCAAAGTCAGGGAGACAAAGAGTTAAGAATGGCACTCTATGGGCTGGGGATGTGGCTCAAGCGGTAGCCTGGCATGCGTGCGGCCCAGGTTCCATCCTCAGCACCACATACCAACAAAGATGTTGTGTCCGCCGAGAACTAAAAAAATAAATAAATATTAAGAATTCTCTCTCTCTCTCTCTCTCTCTCTCTCTCTCTCTCTCTCTCTCTCTCTCTCTCCTCTCTCACTCTCTCTTAAAAAAAAAAAAAAAAAAAGAATGGCACTCTAGAATCCTAGAGGTATAAAGTCCTTCTCTGAGGCCACTTGTCTTTCCCCTCTTGGGTTCTGTGTCCCAGAAGTTTTCACAGGAGCAGCCTCAGCAGAAGAGATGGGGATGCTGCTGCTTTCCCTCCCTCTTCTTTGTAAAAATGAGCTGGCATACTGCAGTCTTCATCCTTAGACTCTCCTCCATGAGGATGGGTTCCTACTGGATTTTTCAGAATGTTTTCATATAATTAAACCCTCCTGAAAATCTGTTCAATTATTACACAAAGAATAAGCCTATAAAACAGTCCCTCTTGAAACTTTTCTCTTCGGGCAATGACATGAAAACATTTCTTTCACAAAAATACAAGAAAAACTCCACGTTTAGATTTCTGACTTTCCGACATTGGGATTCCTAGTTTTACACACTTAGGATGCAAGTATGCAAACATACATGAGTGTATACATGAATGCATGCATGTATATTCATTTGTATTTCATTCTTAACCAAAATACAGATAAAAACATCCAATGAACAATGTTCCAGATAATCCTCTCAGATCAATTTTGTAAATTCTGGGAGGCACCTCCTTAAAGCTCAGATCAATTTTGTAAATTCTGGGAGGCACCTCCTTAAAGCACCATTTTTTAAAAGCAGCAAGACCTACCTACTGCTGATCCTGGACAAGAGACCTTAATGTGGATAAGTACTGTCTGGACTGGGCAAGAACCAACCGTCACATCACAGTCCCTTACTTTACTAACCAGGTTAGTAAATAAATTCCTGAGGTTTCAAGGCTACGATAAGACAGCCATAAGGTTCATCCATTAACTTAATGGCAAACGTAAGTGACGACGATCTGTTCTATTTTGTTTTGTTATTTAGACAAGTTTTCCTCACTCTTGAAACAATAATGCATCTACTTTGCTTTTTCTTTTTTAAACCAATGGCAATTTAACTTTATTTTAAAGAGTCACCTTTAACTTATCAGTTAAACAATTATCACAGAAAACTTACATAACAGAATCCTGTTTGACTGACATTTCACATGTCAAGGCTCTGCAGCTCTGACACGCAAGGTGCTTAGATAGCTGGCAAGACTAAGTACACCTAAAGCTCAGCTGAATCCCTGTTCTGTGTTTCCACTCTGTTCATCTGCTTTCCCATGGGCAAGCAGCCACCACCTATGGCAGAGCCATCTCAGTCTTAGGTCAGCAGACAATACAGGCGAAATCTGCAAAGAACGCACTGGCTTGGGTGTGGTCACCGGCAAATGAAAGCACTGATCCCCCGGTTGTAGGCTATAAAACCAAGAGCCGCACCCTTGGCGGGTAATCCCCAAGCCTGTTTCTCCCCAGTTTTAACACCAGCCCTGATGACTACCCCTAGGAAGCACAGCAGTCCCTAGACCCGGGCAATCTGGTCACACAAAGCCAGCTACTTTCGAGAGCAGACTCTATACCCAGGAGACCTCTGGCCTCTGGGACTTGCATTGCAACCGTCCGCTGCGCGCCGCTAAGCACAGCACGTCTGAGCTGCTGGTCAACAGCTTGGGGCAGACGGCGGCGCCTCAGCCTGAAGGCACCCTAAGCTGGGGAGGCGACTGTGCCCCAGCCTCACAGCGTGGGGACGCTCTACTCCCAAGTGGAATTCTCAACGGGGCCGAGGGCCCCAACGCAAACCCCAACGAGACAGCACGTGCCTTGAGGTTTCTCCGGGAGCATTTTCCATACCAGAACATTGCACACCTAAATTCTGGGGGGCCCTGTTTCGACGTCGGGCGAACACCAGGGTCGGCTATTGTTCTCCGGGGCGGGAGACGCCCCCCATACCGCCTCCCTGGCAGCATTTGCCTCCGGGCAAAGCCCTTCAGCTCTGCGAGAACAGGGCGTGCCGGGGGCGCTGCAGATTATCACAAAATCCTAACTGAGTCCCTACGGGCACGTTCCAAGCTGGGAAACAAAGCTCCTCGCGGGGACTGCTTCACACCCGTCCGAGAGCCGCCATCCTGAGTCCCTTGCCCCGTCCTAGGACCACGCCCAGCCGGCCACTTGGGCCGCCGCGCCCCTTCCCCAGCACTGAGGGTCTTTAGGCCCGAGACCCGCCTCTCAGCTGCCTGCCCCTCCCCCCGGAAGACGGCCCTTCCTAAGGCAGACCCCTCCCCCGCAGAGCTCTAGGCTCCAACCCCCTCCGGGCTTCCCTCCTCAAACCCAGGCGGTCTCCACCCTCCCGCATCTCTCCTCCACTTCTCATTCTTCATCGATCAGCCTCGCCCCGCGCCACCTGCACCGAGCGCCTTCCCTCTGCCCTCCGAACCTCCCTCACCGCCCCCCATCCCGTTCCCTTCTCAAACCCCGGTCCCTACAGTCTTCCCTCAGACTCAGTCACCTGTCCCCACCCAACTCTTCAGCCTTCCCTATCTTTGCTCAAAACGAGGCCTTTGCCTCTGTCTCTTCCCTTCCCGGCTCCTCTCCAGCTCAGACTCTAGCCCCCTCCCCTAGCCCAGGGCGTCGAGGTCCTCGCCCGCCGGGATCGATATTGCGGGTTGGGCTCTGGCTCAGGGCTCAAGGAAGGGACGCAGATACGCGCCGGGAAGGGGTCGGGTAGCGGCAGTAGGCCTTTGTGGTTCCCGCAGGTGCCTCAAAGGCGATGGCGGGAGTCTTCTGCGGGCGTCCGCTCGCTAACCGGGCGGATGGAACGGACCGCGGAGTCTGGTACAGGCTTGGCATAAAGTGGGATGGACTGAGGTTGTGTATCTGGATGGTGGGTGGGGACCGGGGACAGCGCCGATCCAGGAACGCGGCAGGACGAGCCGGCGAACGGAGAAACCAACCTCGCCCCTTGCCTTCCAGCCATTCACTGCACGCGGATCAACAAGGGTAGGGCACCTACTGTGTGCTGAGCACGAATCCCTTCCACCCAGCCACCTCCTCGCCCCAATTATTTGCAAATCCCACGAACACATAAAACGCCAAGGCACGATATCCTGTGGGCGTACAAAGAGGACCTGCCTAGCACTCCCGTTCAGCAGGCTGGCCGTCCCCAATTCCAAACCTTCCGCCGCGTCCCCGGCAGCTGGGCCCCTCGACGCACCCCATTCCCTCCCTTTTGTGCACCTCAGAGAAAAACAGGGAGGGAGCGAGATGGAGGTCCCAGCCTGGGGAGACTATGCCCACCTCTACCCTGTGCCCACCGCCCTCACCCACTCCTCCGTGATGCTGCTGAGATGGTTGGTTGATCGTTCTGTCTCCCGGTCTCGCCGCGGCGCGGGAGCTGCCGGTGCTTGGGGCGCCAGCGGCCCATTTTTTTCTCGCTCGGTGGCCGCCTTAGCGCGCTTGGCGCTGGACTCCGAAGTGGCGAGCGGGGGAGGGGACGCGAGTGGGGGCTGGGAGAGGCCTGGGCCAATCACGGATCAGATGGCTCCTCCCCAGCGCTCCCCACCTCTCGCTAGCAGGTTAGGGGGAGACTGGGACCCGCGGCATCCCGCACCCTCCGCGCGGCGCGCGGCGGCTGCCGCCTTGGGACTACAACTCCCGACAGACCCTGCTGCAGAGCCGGGGTCCGAGAGGGGACAGAGGGCGCGGCCCGAGAACCCGGGTGACCCCCCCCCGGCGCGCCCTTCTCCGCGTTCCTTTGGGTTTCCATGGTGACTTGCAACATTTCACAAAGCCCGGGCGTTGGAACGCGCTGATGCACTGGTCTCCTGGGAGGGCTACGGGGGAGGGTTCCGAGGACACACTGCCTCCCCTCCCCCTGCAGGACCCCACCCGAGGGCCTGGAACAATGAGGCTGCAGCTTCTCCCTGGCAGTTGCGGAGCTGCCCCTTCCTGTGGGGCCCCACCGAGGCCTCCGAGTTCGCGCCCGGACCCGGTGCGACGCCGGCGGAATTGCTAGCTGCAGAGGGCTAGGGTAGTCGTTACAGGGAAACTCTTCTCGCCAAGCGGGGCCAGCTGATTTCGCTGCGAAATCAGCTGGCCCCTTTGAGGTCTGGTAGAGTTCATTTTCGGACGGCGACGATTTTGACCAGCGCTGCGCTGGGGTTTCCGCATCCAGAGCTTTCTGGCCCAGGCTGACTGTCCTATTTCTGGCATCTCCTTTCAAGGGATGGTGAAACCACTGGAAATATTTTGTAACCCAATTTCCACCCGCTTCACCTTTTTCTTCACGTTTTACACGCATCATTTAACAAAAACAATTTATAAAAGGAGTAGGAGGATCATCACCCCGTTCCTCACTTCGTTATCCCCGCTCAAGCCTTTGCTGTACATCTGCGTTATTTTCTGTAGTTATAATGATTCTTTGGATATGGTTTAGTAATTTGCTTCTTTTCGCTTAATATCACCTCATAGGTGTTTCAAAACGTTAAAATGAAGCATCTTAACCCCATCCGGGGACCCCCTAACCGGTTGCTGAAGAAGACCCTCCTGTCCCGGGTTCTCCCTCCCCACTCCACCGTGGGGAGTCATCCTCCGCACCACCACCCAATGCCTTCCTCAAGCCATAGTCTCGTGAGGTGACCTCAGGTTACTTTCAAAGAAAAGCATACTTCACGACTCCTGGGGGCAAGTCCTCGCCCCCGGCATCACAACCGAATCTACTCTGGCAAGCGGCCTGCAAAGCCCGCCAAAGCGGGGTCCAAGTGAGCTACTTTGCCAGGTGGAGCGGAGTTACCAGCCGCCTCCCTGCAGCTGATCCGCCCGCTACCGCGCCGTGCCACCACGCGCTTTTTGCCTAAGGCAGAGGGAGTCCTCTAGTGGCAGGAAATGTTTTCTGCAGTGTTTAGTGGACCTTGAATTGGGACTCTACTTTCTTGGTCCTACCTGCCCTGACCAAAGAAAGGGCTGGCTTAAGAATATCTGTTGGCTTGAAAAAGGTCGTACCCAAACCCAAGATTGCAAATATCCCCAAAATTGAATTATATAT